TTATGGTGCAGCCTCACCCTTCCTCTAACCTCCCCCTTCTAACCGTACTCCAGGCAACCCCTGCAATCAATCAGTCTTTGTGGAAAACGGGCTCCCCTCTCTTCTTCCATTGGCACTACACATAAACACAAATACCCAGAAACACAAACACTCTATTCTAATGTTTGAGGTGACAAAGTTCATGTAGGCTCTCTATCTGTCATACTTTGTCAAGATGAGGACTCGCAGCTCTTCAACAGCCTCGTCCATCACTTCACGACACTCATCCCCTTACCTCCCCCATCATAAAACACAAACAAAGCACTACCCCTCACCAGAAACCCACATGTCTTTGTGCATACACATGCTAGTAATAATTCTTATGTAGCAGTTGGCATCATCTTAAACTGGTGAGTTCCAAGGTAATTAATTACCCAGCAATGTCGTCACCTGCTCAGGTGGCTTTTTCCCCCAATTTTATTCAACTAGTTAAGTGGCACTTGTTCTCAAGCATTAGAATAGAGCCGCAGGAGGATTGGGGGAGAGAGGAGAGCCAGGAGGATGGAGTATTAAAAAGTCACAGCATTTATGAATAACAGTTTGTTTGGCTGGATAGTATAAATTTTCTGGATTTAGGAGATTACCCATGAGCACGCGTACAAAGTGTTTCCTGTATTTTATTGTTCCTCTGGGTCGCACCTCATCTTAAACTCATACCACTAACCACACATGCTTTCTATTAGTTGAATCAACACCAAAATACACACGCACGCACGTGCACGCACACACGCACGCACCAGCTCTTCTTAGTTACATGCCTCTACCTCTCTCGTCTGTTTATGTTGACCTCCTGGCTGACCTCTTCCTCCCTATGGCGACCTGTCCATTCAGCTGTGTCCAAGCTCTCATTAGGGGGACTCGAAATGAGTTTCATGAAGCAGCTAGGGGATTTTCTATCAAAATTTACTCCAGACCTGTTTCTTTATATCCCCCCTGCAGTTGTTATAATTTCTTGTAACCCTCCACTCTAACCAGAAGTTCTACAGCTAGCCATGTGACTCATCCGCTGGGGTTGGATTTAACCACTTGTGGTCAACACAGCACAGGAGCAATGTTTTTGGACATGCCCATGTCTGTATCCGGTGTTTGTTAGTGTTATCTGTCTGTTTCTATATGTGGCTCTGTTTGAGTGATAAGATCAGCTGAGCTGTCCGTTACACATCTGCGTTTGTGAAATGTCCGCACAGCCTCAGGTTAGACGGTGGGGCACAATTGGCCACATGAAAAACTGCAGTTGGCTGAGTGAGCTATCAGTCTCCAGCTGGGTTACAACCAAGTCTGTGAAAGGGCAGCAGTTAACCGGCTCTGACAGCACCACCACGCACTACCTGACCGCTTTTTATTGGCTTCCCTCAGGAGTTTAAAAAAAGTTTAAACAGTGAAGGCATCAAACGGTTTTCCTGTTGTGATTTACAGTCCAGGGTGAGGGTTAAGAGAATGGTTACTTTATGTGTGGATTGGTCGTAATGACCCATTAAAGCTTTCTCACAGGCATGTCCCCCATGCTCCCAAGTTTCAGGTGAACGTGAAGGCCAAGCACCGCTGCTCTGCACAGAATGTTCTGGATATTTCTCAGAAAGCTGCGCCTGCCTCCTGTTTATCTTTTTAACTGTCTTTTGTCTTTTCCAGTTTGAGTTATTAGAGGTATTGACATTGTGATTTATTACTCTACTGCAAAAACAAGCTCCTGAAATGTTTTCTTAGCCCTTTGCCTTATTTTCAGTTTGCCTTTGACTTCAAGCTCAGGCTTTTTGAAGGTGCATGTGTGTGTCGTGTGTGTGTCTTTCATGCTTGCTTACAGCATTCACAGATGTGGCTTTTCATAGTGAACAGAGCGTTTTTCCACAGATCCCACCAACAGACCAGAATATAAGTGAAAACATTTGAAGGTAATTGTGAGTTGATGATATGGATGTGCTCCAGACTGGTGCTATTAGTTTTCAAAGGTTCTGCTATCATGGCACAGTTACGGCTGAAGTGTTTTATGCCCATGGCGTGGGTTTGATAGAGGATGTGGTTGGAGTTGTATTACAGTGTTTCATTACTTTTCATCAAACATGACCCTGAGAAGGAGACTAGTCACACTTTCAATGAATCCACAAACTACAATGTTGTTTTTTGTATGTCTCAGCATATGATCTCACAAGCCCCATTTATAACGTGCTGAGAGACATTTCATATTGATGTAACCCTGGTTCCTGCAGGTTAACTCCGTCCCCTCAACCCTGTTAGCAGCTCGGCTCAAATGGTTTTGTATTTGGAAATCTAAAGCCAAGAAAAATAAACAAGCCTGCCTCTGAAGCTCAAATCTCTCCATCTGATCACATCAGACATCAGTCTCCCTCAAGTGTTTATCTGGAATGCTTTACTTTTCTTTCTCTTTACCGTCTTTACTCCTTTAGCTTTGTTTCTCCTCAGGTCAGACTTATAGATGTAATAATAGATAAAAGTTAACAGTTGGGAAGTACATACTAAGACTAAAAACCTTTTGCAATTATTTAAACAAAATCGTTTAAAATATTATTCTCCTGAACATGTCTGTATACAGCATAACCTGTGTCAATTTTGGTGCCATACCTTGAAAAAGACAAAACTACCAAACATCATAGTTCATAATTTCATTCCTGATTGCATCTTCATATTTGCAGCCCTCACCTGTTCTTATATACTGTTAATCACTAGTTGAATGTATAAACATAAAAACACTCTCAGCATGCTGTTTAAAGTATCTCTGGGTCCTCAGACTGCTTAGGGAAGCCAAAGAAGCGTTGCTAAATGTTTCTGTCTGCAGCTTGAGCCTCCAGTCACGAAACGTCTAACCTCTTCAACCTCTCAGCCAGAGATCTCACAACTGCCCAGACACATTTACACGCACACACACACACACTCTGCAGAATCAGACTGAGTGGCAAAATGAACAGAGACAACATTTACCTTTTTCTTACCAGCAGTGGTGGGGGGGTGTTTCCTGCAGTTATAGTTTCACCTGTGTGTTTTGCGTCTTCACCGAGCCACAGTGCTCAGGACTCATCTCTCTGTCTCCCTCTCTCTCTTTGTCCGAGTCTTCTGAGGTGTTCCCCTCCACTCACTCCTTCTTTCCTGTAGCTGAATATCAAAATATAAATAGGCTCTTTTCACAAAGGCCCTATATCCTAAAGATGTCCTCCTCCTCTGTGGACTCAGCTGTCCCGGGGCTCGGGCTGGGGCATGGTTCAAAAGCCGGCCACTTCAACAGACTGAGCTCTGATTACTGATGCTTTTGAGTTTTCCACAAAGGATGGGGGAGACTAAAGGAGAGGAGGGAAGGGGAAGGAGGATGGGTGGGGAGGAGAAGGGGTATGAGGGTGTGGGAGTTGGATTTTACCCTTTTTTTTTGGAGTGGCCCAACCTACCTCTGATGTCACTCTGAAGGGAAAAAAAGGAAAATAACACGGCTGCCTCATTTAGTTTCTCCATCTTCAACAATGGCCTTCATGGTTCTTATGAAGAAGAAGTTTTTAGTCTGGAGATCACGCTCGAGCTTCTTTGGACCCCTTCTTCCTCAATTACTTCACATTCTCCTTTTTTCTCCTTTTTCCTTTATCCGTGCAAAGAGCTGATTGTAATGCTGCTGGGGTTTCTGGGCAGCTTCCTGTTGAGTTACAGCTGTGATTTTGAGAGCGAGAGACAGAGGCAGGCAGATAAAACTGATTTGTGCTGTTTTTGGAGCGAAGAAATTCTTGCTGCAGGCATAGTCTGAGCTTGGTCATTTCTTGCTCCTCATCACTGCTGTCATTCACATTAATGTGTTAAGGTGTGTGAGACATGGAAAGATGATTTTTTTTCCTGCTAAAATATTTTAAAGATTAGCTTAGAGGATCGTCCATACCTCATGTTTCTAGTTTGATACTGTTCATGCAGGTTTTGCCACATGTCAACACATAAAAAGTGTCTGTGCACCCTAACCACAGGTTCTCTGAGCATGCATCTGTCTGTGGGTGTTCCAGGCACTATGGATTTGTGCATGACTAACTGCTGTTATCCCTGACGTGCTCTCAGAACAGCAGCTATAATAGTTAAGCCTCCAGGATCCCTCTCTTCCTCCTCTTCTCCCCATCTCTCACTTCCCCCCTCACAGCTGAGTCTTCAAACACTTGTAAACTTCTCTCACCCTCCCTCCCTCTCTGATTCTAATCAGATGTTGTGTATGTGGTGTCCTGAACACAAGGTTTGGCCCTTTTATTATTGGATCTGGTCCCGCATTTCTGTAGCTGTCCCTGATTTGTACATCTGCAGTGTAAATGCTTGTGTACGTGCACACATCTGTGAGTAAAACACCGTTTCCAAAGAAGGAAAGATGTGTGGATGTCATAGTTCACTACGTGATGACTTTTCTTACATCTGAATTCAATCTTGATGCTAGCGTGTGAACGAAAGATAAGAAAAGAGGGGAAGGGAAGAAGCACCATCAGTTCACGCCTGGTAATCTCTCTTCAGAATGGTGTGGGGCTGCTTCTGGGTCTGTCTCTCAGTGTTAACATTTATGTAATGAGAGACTAGAAATTTCAGCTGTGCTCTAAATCTGCCTGAAAGAGGCAGGGGTGGGGGGCTTTGGCCCAGGAGAGAATCAGTCATTCATCTGAAGCCCTCATTCAAATCAGTTTGGAGCATTCCTGTCTGATACACAGAAAGGAATAAAAACCTTGCACAATACTTGAATCATGCATCCCAGAAAATCTGGCCCTATTACCATTTCCTGCCTTGTTTATGTCAACATGCTTTTTAATGAGCTGAGCTCTGTGTGTCCGGGAAGGAAAATCGTCATGTTTCCCACCAGTGTTTAAATAACACTTCTGATGAATGGACACCATCCTTACTTTGCTTACAGTGAGGTCCTCAACTCTCTGCAGGAGTCCAGGGAAGATGGTTGTTTATTTCTCTGAAAGTGATGAAGCATCCTCTGTCTGCTGCTTTTTTTTCAGGGATGTACCTGTCTGATCTGACCTACATAGACTCGGCCTACCCTTCCACAGGCAGCATACTAGAGAACGAACAGAGATCCAACCTGATGAATAACCTTCTCAGAATCATATCGGACCTGCAGAGATCCTGTACTTATGGTAAGATTATAAATATAGTCATACAGTTGTAGACAGGGTGTAAGGCTTAAGAAGACTATAATATAAACTGTAATTCCTCACTAAACTCTGAGAAAAAAAGTAAAGAGCAGGATGGAGTTTGTATAATGGCTGGAAGAAACTGCATTGTCACCTTGTTACTTGATTTTCTGTTGCCATGGAGACGCAATGAAAGAATATGTGCTATTCACCATTCACTGTGTGTTTAGTGACAACCTTAACAAGTTACAAAAAAATCAAATGCACTCAGATGAGTTCAGTGAGTTTTATCTCCATCTGTATAAAGGATCTGTGAAATGCATTTTAGGATATTTTACATTTTTAAATTTGTAAAATAATTAGTCTTCATTCCCTGATGTTTGGTTAACCTCCATGTTCACATGTACGCATATTCAAAGGTGGATCATTACTTTCTCTCCTTCAGATATACCGGTGTTGCCTCATGTACAGAAGTATCTCAACTCAGTCAGGTATATCGAGGAGCTGCAGAAGTTTGTGGAAGATGACAATTACAAGTAAGGGAAAAAAAACATACTTAACTTTCTTTCACAGTTTTCTATGCGCATTGCTAATCCATCTCTATTGCCCACAAAAAAATGTCATCACATTTTTCAGATGATTAATTCAAGCTGATAGATTCATGAATATTCTTTATTTAGGTTGTCTCAGAAGATTGAGCCAGGAACCAGCACACCTCGAGCAAATGCCTCAAAAGAGGATCTTGTCGGTGAGTTTCTGTTCAGAACTGTATTGGGTGACAGATGTACAATAAACCTGTCTATTATCACGTATTACTGAGTGCTGTGTGGGCTGTAAAATGTTCCTTCCCTCCCATTCTTACCCACAGGCCAGGAAGCGTCAGCGTCTCCTCTCTGCGGCCGTAAATGTACAGTAGCAAGTGAAGGACCCAAAGTCCCAGCCACTCCGCCCTCCCCCAGGAACCTCCTGCCCTATGGACACAGGAAGTGCCACAGCCTGGGCTACAAGTCAGAATCCCTTCCTGATAGATAATAACGATAATGATGTCCTACAAATTGCACACACTTAACACAGTAAATGTCCTTACTAAAAATACAATCTTTCTGTCCCTGCTGTCTTCACAGTTTTATTCATAAAATGAATACAGTAGAGTTTAAAAGTGCTACGTTCCCCAATGCTGGCTCTCGCCATCTGTTGGACGACAGTGTGATGGAGAGCCACAGTCCCACCAGAGGACAAGCAGAGAGCTCAACTTTGTCCAGCGGTATTTCACTTGGTGAGACTGAAGCATTTACACTAAGAAACATGACTCACATGTTGTTGTTCAATCATTGTGCTGATTGTAATCTGCCAACAGGGAGCAGCGAGGGCTCGGAGCTCAGTGAAGAGGTGTCTTGGCCAGCTTTTGAGAGGTAAGGTTAAAAAGTCTTTATTGCTGGTCCTTTTTTTTCCCCTCACATCCACTGAAAAATCATATAATAGCCCCATCCCTGATGTGAGTGTTCTATTTCCAAAGCTCTGGCCTCAAGATACAGCTGTGCAAAATTATGTGCCATTTAAATCCTGTATACACAGCATGCACAGCCTTGCTTTTAGGCTCGCAGTCCAGGTCGCCATGCATCATCACCTCATCGCTGCTTTTGGATGCTTATGCTTCTCTGGCAGCCTAAAATATACCATGTATTAAATCCCCCTAACCTTTACCCCAAGTGAGACAATAAGCTACACTCGCTAGTTCAGAAGTTAAAAATCCACTGCCCTGAAAATCAACTTACCCTTCTTTCTAAAACACCATTCTTTTAAACTCTTCAATAACTTTATAAACACACATCCATCAATAATCCCTCAAACCAAACGTCCACTCCTCATCCAGCCCTAACTCCTCTATTTCGAAAGGGGAAAATGATAACAATGGGGAAAAAACACTGGAAAAGCCTTAACAGTGTACCGTGCCCCTATCCTATCCTATTTTATCCTATATTCTGAACAGGAATCGGTTCTATCACTCTCTGGGCCCAGTGACCCGAGTGGCCCGCATCCCCTACAGAGGAGTCCTGAGGCCCAGCAGGTACACACATCCCGACCGGAACCAACCTGACCTGAATCAAACCCGCTCTTATCCTCACTTCACGGCCCTCAGCCTCTGCAAGGGGCCGCTGTGTGCTGGTGCTTAGCGTATGTGTGTGTAGTGCTGGGTTCCACTTGTGATGGGTGTATGCGTGCTGAGAGTGTTAGTGAAATCACAAATCCCGGGACGGGTTTGAGGTTCTGATTCTTCATCTTTTGCTGCGTATCATCAGTCTTCAATCTACCTTTTGCTTTCTCGAATTTCCTGCATGTCTGCCTTGCACACAGGATAACACGCTCAGATAAAAATTGAGCTTAAAATCAAACTGGGCTTCTTCCTGTGAAAGGTTTCCAACATATTCCTCAGCTTGGAGCTAAAAAAAGTTTCCACAGTCACACTGAGTTCCATGTGTTACTGGAAACAAACTGCTACATCCTCATTCCTAAGGTAGAGACAAACAGACTCTTCAGGTTTATTAGAGCCAGTTCTCATGGACGCTGCATATTCGGCGTCCCTTGCGGTTTCTGGATGGTCTCTCTCTGTTTCTCTCTGTTTCCACCAGGCTTCACTAGGCTCCTGCACTGGGCTTCATGCTCTGATCCTCCAGACAGACACAATCTGCACACCACCTTGCCTGTCTCTGCTCCTCTCTCTGCAGATACCAGGGTTCAGATTTAATTTGTGAAATTCATCTTGAAGGTCCAGTGTGTAAGATTTCAATGTTGTGTAAGACATCGGGAGCGGGTCCTCTCTACGGATGCTGCCATGTTTTTTTACAGTAGCCCAGACTGGACAAACTAAACACCTTTTTTGAGTTTTTATGACAACTGAAGTCTGCTAATGGTTCTATGTCTTGTTTAGAAGGGGTGAGGTGAGGGGTATTCAGCTGCAACATACAACTATACCACTATCACTAAATCTTACACACTGAACGTTCACTTTAAGGAAAATGAGAAATAAGCGTTACGTATTCATGAAGCAGAGGATAAGGTGTCTTTGCAGATTGTCTGTCTATACTTATAGTTCATCTCTGATTTAATTTACATGTTCATGCATGAGACCATGCATGTTTTATCATGTTTATGTTTGTGTATATAGCTTGTAATGTTTGTCTCTGTCCTGTTGCAGCTCTGCGGAATCGGAGGAGCTGGCAGTTCACTTGTATCCTGGAGCAGTCACAGTGCAGGGGGTGTTGAGACGAAAGACTGTGCTCAAGGAGGGCAAGAAACCAACAGTGAGAACCCCCCCCCCCCCCCCCCCC